TGGTACATACATATGGACTTGTCCTGTATATACACACGCTGTTGAAGACGAGATGCATGTTCTCTAGTCTCTCGTACAGACCCTGAAGCAAATATATCCAAGAAAGCCCACACAAGTCTAGAAAATGTGGCAAGTCTAGATTTCCTCAGCTTCAGGGCTCCTTTTCATTATATTATTTTTTTTTTACTATGAACTTTTTTCAGTAAAATATGTTCATTTCAGAGACTAGTTGTTAGTCTACATGTTCTCCTACACTGAACACTACATTGAAGATTTCAGACATGACCTGTATGCCCAGTTTTGGTGTGGCCTCACTTCTCCGACTTTAGTGATGTACAGAAAGTGGGTTATATTCTCTCCTCACCTGAAGTGAAGCTATTTTAACTACCCGTACAGATTTTCTTATATCCTAGCTAACTATTTTATCGTTTGGAAACATCCTATGTATGCATCTTTATGGTATATTTCCCCTTTATGTTTTACATTATAAATATGTTTTATAACCTTTTATAAAATTCATCTTTAACAAATTCTTTAACAATATATGTATATTTAATTATCTTATGTACTTTTAATGCACTTTGGGATAAGCAATATATTGTTATTTTATGTAAATATCTGTCATTTCGTACTACATCGTCTCTCGTAACCCATTTTGGGGTGGCTCGCTGTACTTTAAAGTAAATTCTATGTTTGTATATCTATTTTAAGAGGTGAGACATGAATAAATAATCTCTCTATCTGTCTATGGATAGATTATATATGCCACATAAACGAAGACGCAGAAATGATACACTTTTCATACTGTGAAGGCCATGTATATGCAAAAGCCATACTGTATATCTTCAGTATTATATCGTAATCCCCGGATCTACAGGCTACGGTCCAAGCCTAATTAGATAAGACACATATAGGGCAGTACAGACTTTGGAGATAACAGCCCGTCAAATATTAACCAAGTACAGGTGCGAGCGTTTACACTCGGCTGTATATATCCCTCCACACGTGAAAGTAGTTTCACCTTAAGCAGGTCAAGTAATACCTGTCACTGCGGTCGCAGGGTTCCCAGCTACAAAACACTCAACAGACTTAGTAACTAGATCCATAGACATCAATGGGGTGGGGTGAATGAGTGTTGTTTAACGGCGCAGTTAGCAATACGGACATGCAGGGTATATACCTGTATATAATGGAGTCTGCCCTAGACAAAACACCATAGGTGCCCCAAGTCATTGACATCCGTGCGTGCGTGTGTGTGTGCGTGCGTGTGTGTGTGTGACGCATACAACCAAGTTGACGAATTGGGACCACCCAGTCACGTTGACTCGCTACTAATGGCGTGGAGGACGAGCTGGGTTCATGTCGTACCAGGGCGGTGGGGGGTAGCCTTATGGTTAAAGAGTCAGCTCGTCACGCTGAGGACCCGGGTTCGATTCCCCACATGGGTACAATGTGTGAAGCCCCTTTCTGGTGTTCCCCACAGTGCTATTGCTGGAATATTGCTAAAAGCAGCGTAAAACCTTACTCACTCACTCATGACGTACCATCACGGCGTGTGGGGTAATAGAGGACAGTCAAAAGTGACTATATGGCTTGTAGGAGGACCACGACCATCCATGACAGGAGATAAAAGATTGGAATCAGAACGAATCTGGGAATTCCAGCCCACAAGCTGCGGATTCTGGGACGGCTAAACCACACATCACTGCATGGCGATGTGTGTCGCCTTCGACTATATAGTGTGTCATCTGTGACCCCACATTTATTTCGGGGTCAATTACTTCACGTTTTATTCGATTTAAAATAGGATTGAACTATTATAACGTTAAAGCACTCGGACGCAAGCGTTTCGTACTTTAAATAATAGTTCAGGGCGAAAGTGTGTTTTATTACACTATACATGGTGGTAGAGCGAACTGTATTTCTTAAATAAAGTACTGTCGGCGCCTTTGATCTTTCACCGAAGCATCTTAGAATGCATTTTATATGCATTTGTTTGCAAATCCATGTATATGAAGTTCATCATTCTTCGATGTCTTTTATCATTTATTTCTAAACCACTGATTCAACTCAGCACATAGATTTCACATAACAAGAGTCTCAACCAAGCTTAATCAAATGTCCGATGTCATCAAGGAAGTCAAGTGGTGACCTGGTACCCTGGTGAAGCTGGTCCTTCAGTCTCTGGATCCTGTTCTCCAACTCCCTGTACACTTAGCCCGAGTGACATTTTCTGGTGGATGACTGTGGTCAGAAACTTTCCTGACAAGATCTCCAACTGTTGTGCATTTGCCCTTGAAGGTCTTGCAATGCATCGCCAGTGCTGACATGTCTGTCGTGTTGTAGAGGAATCCTTCAAAAAGAACTTGTGATCTGCCTCGCTGCGATGTGACATACTCTACTCTTTGTATACCAGCCATGGTTAATGTGCAAGGGTCATCCCCAGCCATTTATAGTAAATGATGTATTTTCTCAATATAATTGAGTTAACTCTACTAAATAGTTAATCCTGCCTTGATAAGAAGAAATCATCTCAAGATAAAAACAACTGAATGTAAATATTAAATGCTAACTATTAAAACATCTTTAATCAAACAAACATTTCTTGAGTAAACAAACATCCTATGCACTATATTGTGGGGCGTAAACTTTGTGTTCCCGATGTAATGTTGCAGCAGCGATCTTCAAAGCCACATTACATCTCATTCACTTCACTTTCGATGAACAGGTTTCTGTGTGCACGGCGCTTACGGCATTTCGTCTATTTGACGCACTGATACTGATAATACTATCTTCTCCCAGAGGAAATTTGTCTTACGTCATAACGGACGCATATACATACATGTAACATGGAACACAGACATCACTAACTTACACACACAAACTGGTAACAGAACTAATCACAGATACACAGTATCATTAAAACGTAGCACTCTTTTAGCAAAGGCCAGATGTAACAAAACAGGAAATTCAACTTAGTGAAGATTACAGTTTAGAAAGGCAAAAATTAAATACTGCATTGATGAAAAGCACGGATAATGGTTGGTGTGAAGATTATAGGGTCCTGTTTGTTCTTAATATTGACGTTTGCAGACGAAGACCAGAAGGTAAAAACTTATACCCGGAGAAAAGGACATGAGAGCTGTCACTCATTATTTTACGTGTTCTGTTTTTAAGATTTGCAGCTCGAATAAACTGCCAATACTTCATAATGGGATTTCATTTGTTTACATGCCGTGTTTACATGTTTAGAAAGTTTGTTTCTGTTCTAAACAGATAGGGTCCAATACTGTGTGTAAAAGTTAAAAGTTAGAATACATTAGAAAACAAACCCAAGATGGTGCTGTCACCATTATAATGCTTCAGACATTTAAGTAATATAACCCCTGCTGCCCTTTGGGCGGAAGCCTTGGCACATTGGCAACTCACTACCTTACCAACTCCCAAAATCTAAAGTCATACAAAACGCACATTTGCAGAAAAAGTCATTATCAATAGCCACCATGTCCCAATAGCTGAGACTGGGCTACTATTTTGACGACAGGGCGTATGACCGCGAATCAATTCGAAGCTGTGAATTGGAGGGCTGACGTCAAATAGAGGAAATTGGGTATATATGGCTGTTCACATTAATGTTTTAACATTTTCACCAAATTCTGTCTGCTTTTAGAAGTGGCTTTTATCATTTGTAAAGTAGATACGTGACTATGTGTTTCGCGACTAGACTTTGTTAACGATGACTCAAATATGCAAATGCCAATCTATAACAATGTAATAATCGTGTGAGGTGTTTAGAACGTTCAGATCATCCTGGTAACAATTCAACACATCAGGATTGTATATTATTCTTGATTATATAGAATCATTTATTTATGGAAGTACATACGACAAAGGTATCGTTGTAACCACGTAACAAGCTTCAAGGAACTCGTTGATTGCTCCAATATAGTGAACGCTGCCAATAAGCATGAAGAATAACTGTTTACATGAGTTTCAATCCCGTTATGTGTTAGCAGTTCTGCATAATGAGATGATTAATTTCCCAAGCAAGTGGTATTAGAATGACAGCACCATCTGCGGAATGTGAATCAAAGCATCAATCACCCATACATGTATCCATGGACGTGGTTTTATTATAACTCACAGGGTACCCCTTGGCAATACGTCGATCAAAACGATGTGTTACGTCATAGCGTTGCGTAACTGTTGTGACAGGTAACCTTAAGATACATCTGAAAATGCCTCACATATCATAGAGACAAATTGATTTGTCTTAACTCCCAAAACGCTTCTCGGAATTTAAAAAAAGTGTTTCATCGATAAGTAAAAAAGCATTTAGGAGCCCAATGAAAACAAACTTGAAAAAATGGCTTGCATAAAACAGTATAATGAGATAAAACCTAGGAAGTTTATGTAACTTCGTTTTTGAGACACATAGATCATCTGATTGTCAAATATGCTAGTCTGTCTCACAGTCCCTTAACCGCATTATTTTTCCATGTCCTATAGTGACTGAATGAAGCAAGTCTAGATTTCCTCAGGTTCAAATCTCACCCGGTCTCCTTTTCTGTTTCAAAGGGAATTGTTTGTTTCTGTAAAAAATATGTATATTCCGAGAGTTAGCCTAGATAGATGCCGGAATTCATTATACCTGTCAGCAGTTTGTCACTTGTGATGGAGACAGATAAAATCATGTTAATTCACACATATATCATATATACATGTATGTACAGGTCTTCGAGGTCCATATTGGAGTGGCAAACGGATAAAACCAAGGAAATTTGTCATAAACTACGTAAATATGAAAACCAGCGTAACTAGTAATGCGTACAGTACTTCAAATTTTGCATAAAACACATTATATCACAGAATATGAACGACATGTATTTTGTATTATGGCCTGCTGTATTATCTCCCTTGGCGGATATGAACTTTGACTGTCAAGGCACCCATGTGATTTAAATTTCAGCCAATCACAAATAATCAATGTTGCCGCCATCTTTGGCGAGAAATACGGCGAGACACTGTCTCCGAAAATTTTGTGTCTTATCCGTAATTACACAGAAATATTTTAACAATAAGTAGTAATTGTTTAAGACAACCCAGCCATGGCGACTGAAGGGGGTGGCAAGATTAAACCTAAACGCAGCCACTCGACTTCAAAGCCATACGAAAGACGAAAGGTAGGGCTTTTGCTGGTACACGTGAGTTTTGTCTTACGTGATCACAGATATTGTATCTTCAGTGCGATGTCCGTAAACGTTGAATATGAGTTTGATTTCATGATAACATACATATTATTTATGTAGATCCTGATGTTGAAGGAATTGATCTCTAAAAAACCATGTACTTTCACTCAAAAGAGTCGTGATTCATGCTTGGCGACGTGGTTGTGTAATTTACCAAGTGAAAGTTCTCAAGAGAATATTGTTTTTTAAACAAATTTTGATCCAAATCCAAATTTGGTGTTAACACTACCGAAATTCGCACTCCACCAACAGTTGTTGATACACAGGCCCACAACGTATATGTAATCTATGTAATATGAAAACAAATAATTTGAATAACGTTACAGAAGAGTTTCAGAAGAAATAAATTAAATATTGGATCATGTATTTTTCTGAAATTACAAACTGGCTTTTACTCAATGTATATCTACCTATTTGAGAAGCTTTCATACAAATATGCACACAATATTTCAAAATTCCAATAGCTGTAACAACAAATAGCATAGTTACTCATGTATCCATTCAAATTACATGCCTATATTTCTTTAAGTATGTTTATTTATCAATCAGAAGCAGTGGCTAATATGTAACTATGTTGCTGTATCTGCTATTGTTCATTGGACATGTATGTACTCCCTTCAAAGATTTGATGTGTTGTCTTTAGTTCATACTAGCTACTTGGGATAGCACATACACAGGTACAGATAGGAAGTAAATGGAGCAATATTTTAATCAGAATTATTTTGCTAACAAATCCACTTGCATAAGTCTGTGAAAAGAAATGAATAACTTTATAATAGCACTGTTTATCCCAAGTAATTCACTGTAACTAATTTACTTACATCTGATGTGATGATTTCCTGGTTTCTGTTACATTTGTTTTGACATTTCAGTCACTCTTGGGTAAGGTGACGGATACTGTAAAAGATTTGCTTGCTCCATCATGGTTGACGGATTTTGTATCAACTGTGTCAAAGAAGACTCCTCCCAAAGACAAGAAGGATGCTTTTATAGAGGAAGAGGAAGATGTGTTCATGGTATATAAAAGTCTTCTTTTTTGTGTGTGAAATCAGTGCCTGATCAAGCATGTTAAGTGCATGAAATGTCAACATAGACATTAATTAGACTTTGTAATTATTCAAAGGTGTCTGTGTTCAAAGAATAAACAAGGATTCCAAAGATCATTAACATTGTTTGGGAGGGCCACCAGGACAAATACTGTGTATCAAGAAATATGAGTTGAGTTGCACGATCATACAGTGACTGAGATTTGTAATTGAGGTGTGCTCAATTCTGGTTAATCACCATACCTTAGATGTTTTCATAATCAAATTGTATCCATTACTTCCCTGAATTATCACCACGCAGCATACCAAAAGACGTTAAAATATGGTACTTGTATGTCCCTGTCTGGCGCTCGGCATTAATGGGTACAACAAGGACTGGTGGTCTCGGAGTCAGTATAATGTGTCTGAGTGGGGTATTCATGCTTCACTGCGGCATGGTATCTCAGTGGGCTAGCACTATAAAACCAGCTGAAGTCTGGGCTAGTACAAGCAGCCGCACATACACGTACACACGCATTCACGTCGTCATATGAGCGAAATATTCTCAAGCGTGACGTTAAACCCAATTTCACCTCACCTCGCCTCACCTCACCTCAATCAAGCACTCAATGATTACCGAAAGAAAATGATCATGCTGATAGACATGATCCATCTTGAGTATTTAAGCTGTTGTCGTATACAACATTATCACACTTCGACCCGTGAAGATCAGGGGTAGAATAGGTCTTCAGCAACCCATGCTTGCCACAAAAGGCGACTATGCTTGTCGTTAGAGGCGACTAACAGGATCGGGTGGTCAGACTCGCTGACTTGGTTGACACATGTCATCGGTTCCCAGTTGCACAGATCGATGCTCATGCTGTTGATTACTGGATTGTCTGGTCCATACTCGATTATTTACAGACCGCCGCCATATAGCTGGAATATTGATGAGTGCGGCGTAAAACTAATCTCACTCACTCTATCACACTTCAAGTTAGTGCTAGCCTGTGAAGATTGAGTTAAGGTCATATTATTTGCCAGATCAGAAAATGTACAAGCTGATAGGCATGGAATTATACACTACAGTAAATTATTAAAATGAAATATAACAGGCCACACATCCCAGTAGCTCTTGTACACAGCAGGTGCTCATGAGGTCATGTCATTAGAGATGCTGCAAGTCGCTGTGCAGAGTTTACAAGGGCTAGCCAGAAACCCTTCATAGTTAATTTAGAATCCTGGTCTGACCCCAATTATGTTTCTGGCTGTATCCCCACCATATCATGTGGTGGCGCATGGTCCTGTGCTCAAAGCTCAGGTCACCAATCGGTGAAGTTAAGCAGCGTCAAGCTTGGAGAGTCCTTGGATGGGTGACCATGTTTGGCAGGTTGACTCCTGAGAGTTTCTAGGACTTGAGTCCTGCCCCACAACGAAGCACATGTGACACATGTGGTCTCAACTTAGGCAAGTGAGTTTATTCAAAATTGTCTCTGTTCCCCCAGCAGGAAAATGGGTACCCGGTGGTAAAAAGTCATATGACTATAACCTTCTAGCGTTTAACAGGCAGCTTGGGTTATCCGGGGTAATAATGTGCTGTGCGTTGATTGTTAGAGCTATGAGCATACCTAGTGTGGAGTTTGGCGCTATATAAATGGACACATTATTATCATTGTCATGGATTTCACCAAACACTTGAGGCTTGAATTACCAAGGGGTTGCTCCTTAGATTCCATGATATAAATGGAATGCTGGTCAAAGCAGCATTTAACCAAATTTGTTCACAGAATGAGCAAAAACATGCCTTCCCACATTCCCTAATATCAGTTTATCAAGACATTATCTGCAAATTGTTTAATGTATTTAAAATTCATTGTTTGTGAAATGAATGCTTGTCAAGTTATTTTGCAAAGAAATCTGGCACCACATTACCAATTTTCTTCATTCTGTAATGACACTTAACCTCCTGATACATATTTTCTGCACAAAAGATCATTTAGTCTAATCATTGCTCATGTATCGGTGAATCGCTACTGCTGAGTGTTTTCTGAGCCTTTGTATTTATTTGGGATGGGTGTAGGAGGTTTAATGTGTATCATAATGTTTTAAGGAATTAAGGAAACATTTTGAAGGATTTTGGCAATTGTAAGACCTTTTAAACATTATGAATTCATAATCACTTATCCATAAAATTATGGAAAGAATGAACTTCTATTTACCAATAAACTGATTATTCCAAACACTCTGTATTTGTTGATAAATGTCATGTCATTGTTCAGCTGGAATTTATCAAAGGATTTCAAACTGAGTGCCCTTAAAAGGCAAATTGGGGAAAATTGTGATGTTCCTAATTTGATTTTGTTGTTAGTAATGTAAGTGTTCCCATCTATATAAGTTTGGTGGAATTTAGAATTTAAGCACAAAGGAATTTTATTTGTCAGTTAATAGTAACTGTAGCTAAAAAGTGTGGAGATTACTGACAAAACAAGATTCCTAACCCTGGTGTTTCTGGTTTTAGAGCCCTGCTCAGTCAGCCATCACAGCTGAACAATGTAAGGAAACCTCCTCGCATGCAGCAGCAGCAGGAACGTGACAAGCGCAATGCAGTGCCTGCACCCCGGTCTGCAACTGCCACAGCTGCAACTCACCTGGACCCTGCCGTCCCATCAACATCCCTGGCGCCACCTCAGCCATCATTCAGCTCATCACATCTGCCTTTCTCAAAGTTTACCCAGCAAAAATCAAGAATCCCAAATGGTATTTATCACATTGTTTTGAGTTTTAGTCTGGGCAAATCCTATTGTTAGGCCTAGTCGCATCAAAGCCTGTTGCTGGTAGTAATTTCTGATGTAATGAGACCCTATTCTCTCATGAATACAGACCCGTGAAGATCCAGGGTAGAATAGGTCTTCAGCAACCCATGCTTGCCACAAAAGGCGACTATGCTTGTTGCAAGAGGCGAGTAACAGGATTGGGTGGTCAGGCTCGCTGATTTGGTTGACACATGTCATCAGTTCCCAATTGCGCAGATCGATGCTCATGCTGTTGATCACTGGATTGTCTAGTCCAGACTTGATTATTTACAGACCACCGCCATATAGCTGGAATATTGCTGAGTGTGGCGTAAAACAAAACTTACTCACTCACACTCTTATGAATACACTCTCTTAATTGAGGACAAGGACATGCAGCAAAGGGGCTGCTGACTGACTGCAAAGCTGCCTTGAAAATTCAACCAATTGTTCTTTTGTTGTTTGATTGCTTGGTATTCTCTTTATTCTGTATTGAAATTATTGTTGCTAATGACTTCCACATAAAGACTTCTTAATGTAAGAATTGGGTTTACAAATATATATCTTATCTGCCACTGTTTTACTTACCAGTGTGCTTCACTTCGTAGACATTTGTTATTCTCCGCAATCAGCAATATTCCAGCTGTAGTTAGTTGACTCTGGACCAGAAAATCCTGTGACACCTAGAGTATTGGTCTGCACAATTAGGATATGATAATGTTTCTATCAAGCCCGTGAGTCGGGCCCGTGATCCCATTTGTCACCTCTTACAACTAGCATGGGTTGCTTAAGTGGATTCTAACCCAGATCTCCACGGATACACAACAAGTACACATTAACTATCCGCACTTCTAACATGTCTGAGTAGCAACCAAATCACTCACACTTGTAGTTTATGCTCAATTTGCATCACCTTATGCTTCTATCCATTGGCTCTGTTAGGGCACAGTGCAGATTGAAGAAGTAGTTACTCCTGTTTCATTGCAATCTATCCGGATGATAGATTGAAGAAGTGTTTACACCTTCCACTGTTTAACATGTATCAGAAAAATGGAGTTGTTCTCCTGTTTCATTGCAATATTGTGAAAACTAGTTCCTAAGTGATTATTGTACATGGTTTTGTCGAAAATTACTTTTATCTATCCAGATGACACCATGTCAGAACGAAGTGATGTGTCTCGATCCACAAGCGGGTGTTCGTCCATGATTCCTCACCCGGACAAGCAAGCCTATCAGAGGGAGATCCTTCAGCTGAATGATTCTGCTCTAGACATGTTGAAAACAGACTTTCAAACAGCTGAAGTTTTTCAGCCTCCAAGGGGTGGTCAAGCTGCACAGAAAGATATGCCGGCACAGAGGTCTCAGCCTATTGGTATGTTTCGTGACAGGGAAGAGTTGGACATGTATTATCACTACCTGATGGATTGTTTAACGCTGCACTCAGCAATATTCCAGCTATGTGGCAGCGGTCTGTAAATATTCGACTCTGGACTAGACATTCTGGTGATCAACAGCATGAGCATCAATCAGTCTATGCAATTGGGATGTTACACATTTAGTGTATCACATCTCTGACAGCAGAGGTCGTCAGTTCCCATTGCTGACATCAGTTCCCGTTGCTAAGCTTATTTGCACCCAATACTATGTTTGTCTGTACTCAATGCTAAGGTTGGCAGTACCCAATGCTTTCCAATGCTAAGGTTGGCAGTACCCAATGCTAAGGTTGGCAGTACCCAATGCTAAGGTTGGCAGTACCCAATGCTTAAAGTTGGCAGTACCCAATGCAAAGGTTGGCAGTACCCAATGCTAAGGTTGGCAGTACCCAATGCTTAGGTTGGCAGTACCCAATGCTAAGGTTGGCAGTACCCAATGCTAAGGTTGGCAGTACCCAATGCTTAGGTTGGCAGTACCCAATGCTTAGGTTGGCAGTACCCAATGCTAAGGTTGGCAGTACCCAATGCTATGCTTAGGTTGGCAGTACCCAATGCTAAGGTTGGCAGTACCCAATGCTAAGGTTGGCAGTACCCAATGCTTAGGTTGGTCAGTACCCAGTGCTTAGGTTGACCGCATTACCCAATGCTAAGGTTGGCAGTACCCAGTGCTTTCCAATGCTAAGGTTGACAGTTCCCAATGCTTTCCAATGCTAAGGTTGACAGTTCCCAATGCTAAGGTTGGCAGTACCCAATGCTAGAAGTAACCCTGAAACATTGTTTCCATATGATAAAGAAGTTGATGGTAGGAGATTACTTGCTTTGGCCATTGGACTTAAAAGAACATTTCCATATCAATCATTTGTTCTCTTACAGCCCCAAAGATGTTTGAGACATTTGTCAATCCACCGAAGACATGGACTGCAGAAGCATCATCATCCCGCCAAGGGCGTCCTTTGGCCCCGGCTGTCAGGGAGAAACCAGGCTTCAACACTTCACTATTTGGTTCCCCTGTTCTGGTATGTTGGAGCTGTTTTACTGAACGTGTCAGTTTAACCTTTGAGATACTTGTCTGTATAATTTGTTTAATACGGATAACCCTTGATGTGAGTATGTGTGTTGATTTATTTTGACACCAGTTTTATGGAATTTTACAGAACCAGTCCTCATCTATACTGGGTGAAAGCTTTGGGGAGTCATCCTTCTATTCTGGCAAGACAACATATGGAGGTGCATCAGCCTACAGAAAACTCAACTCCACAGCTCCCTACCAGGTACAGTAGGCTTACACCTACCCTTGTCATTAACTGAAGGTTTTCTCTTTATTGGTTGCTTACATTTGTCTAAAATTCGCTGTAGGTGATCAATTGTTTTCATCGAAAAATGTATTGCTTCATGATTGTCCCCCGCTGCAATTCGGAACAGGGGACTATGTATTCAGCAGCGTCTGTATGTCCATATGTACATACGTCCCAATTCTTGTTAACGCGATGTCTCATGATCGGTTGTACCCAATATCTTCAAATTTGGTGACAGCCTACATTGGGGAATTACACAGACACACTTGATTTGAGTGACCTTGAACTTATTTTTAAGGTCACCACAACACTTTGATCACTTTTGAAACTCTTGTTAACGCGATATCTCATGAACTGTTGTACCCAGTATCTTCAAATTTGGTGACAATAGGGGATTGCGAAGACACCAGTCGATTTGGGTGACCTTGAACTTTTTGAACAGTTCAAAGTCTTGTTAATGTGATATTTCATGCACTGTTGTACCCAATATCTTAGAATTTGGGATAATGTGAGCTTTGACTTCGTCGCTACAAGGGTTAAATAATGCTGATGTGTTTTAGTTCACTCACTTTGAGAGTAACTTTTGTTCATGCAAGAGATTTATTTTCATACAACAAATGACACGGCATTATGTTTACACAATTTCAGACTGCACTGCCAATTCGTAAACAACTGAAACCAAAGCCTCTCAACAACAGCTTCAATGCAGTGACTAGTTCCACTGCCAGACGAATCCTGGAAACACTGGAGCGAATGTCTACACCCCTCTCAGTGAGTTGAATGCACTTTGTTTTATTCTCATACTTACTATAATCTGCAACATTTATTTGCCTGGTGATAGCAAAGATTCCTGGAACATGTTAAACTATGAGTGCTGATTGTATGTAGTTATGACTTGGGTATCATGAAAACATTGACATCATCATGTGAAAAGATGTTTCAAGGTGTATCATATGAAAACATATTTCAAGGTGTATCATATGAAAACATATTTCAAGGTATATCATATGAAAACATTTCTCAGGTATATGGTTTCTTCTTTCTGGTTTGCTAGTGATGTAAAATGTTCTCATTTCAGGATGCAAAAAAGATCCCTGCCAGTGAATCTTTCCTGACTGATTCTGTGTTGTCATTCACAGTGAGTGTCATTGTATTACTGCAGCTCAGTGTATACAGTTGGTTGAGTTAACAGTGAACCAAAAGTAAATTTCTGTATAGTATCATCTGTATAATGTAGTAAACATGGAATAAATGTGAAAACTGCACCATGTATAATGAAAATGGGTTGTTCCCATATTTTGACCTAACATGGCTGACATGATTTTGGCTGAAACAACACAATCAAGCATTTCTTGAATATAGTAAAACCATATTACTCACTCACTCACTCGTGACACAATCGAGAGGATCATAACTGCCAGTAATGACAACCTTCCAGGTAAGATTGGGGTGGTGGGGTAGCCAAGTGGTTAAAGCGTTCCCTCGTCATGCCGAAGACCTGGGTTCGATTCCCCACATGGGTACAATGTGTGAAGCCCATTTCTAGTGTCCCCCGCCGTGATTTTGCTGGAATATTGCTAAAAAGCGGCATGAAACTAAACTCACTCACTTCTGGTAAGATTAGGTTATGTTATAACATGTCTGTATAATGTGCCTGTTTGTTTCAGCCTGGCAGTTACAGAAGACGATCCTTACGTCCACTCACTGGTGTCGGGGCAACAAGGAGGTCACTAGATGTAAGTACGCTGAGTAGAGTGCAACAGGGTAGTTAACACTTGTTTCATTTTAGAACTGAACTAATAAAATATATTCATTAAGAATTGTTGGTCTCCTGCATCCTATGTCAGGGTTATGTATAAATTTATAGTATCTCATGGTTTTACTCATTTACTTATTATTGGTCTTGTCGGATGCGGGTGGTGGGGTGGCCCAGTGGTTATAGCATTTGCTCGTCACGCCGAAGACCAGGATTCTATTCCCCACATGGTTACAATGTGTGAAGCCTATTTCTGGTGTCCCCCGCCATGATATTGCTTGAATATTGCTAAAAGCGGTGTAAAAATGAACTCACTCACTCACTTATCCGGGACCCGTGAAGATCCGGGGTAGAATAGGTCTTCAGCAACCCATGTGCTTGCCTTAAAAAGGCGACTATCTTGTCGTAAGAGGCGACTAAAGGGATCGGGTGGTCAGTTTCGCTGACTTGGTTGACACATGTCATCGGTTCCCAATTGCGCAGATCGATGCTCATGCTGTTGATCACTAAATTGTCTGGTCCAGACTCGATTATTTACAGACCGCCGCCATATAGCTGGAATATTGCTGAGTGCGGCGTAAAACTAAACTCACTCACTCACTCACTTATCCGGATGCTGACAGATGTTGGTTTTTGACCTGAATCCCTGTCCTCACTCTTAAAACCTGAACGATGCTACAACTTGATTAAGTATGTTTACTAGCCAGTCTTCTGTTTGATGTGTCAGGTACCTAAGGGCCCCCCTACCAGTCAACTGAAGACTCCTTCCATCGCGTCTATTTCCAAGAATCGCCAGAAGCTCTTGTCGTCCACGCCAACGTCCTCTCGGATACCGGAACCAAAGATAAAGAATCAGGACAGTGGTGAGGAAGATGAGGACAGCAGGTCAGTGACTGTCTCTAGTTAGCCATGTAATGTTAGTTCAGGGAGTTATCTGGGGATCCAAAGTAAGCATACACACCATTAAGCCTCTTACTGTTACTGATACAAACCAGGGGCTCCTTTCCACGAAGCAACCTTTACTAAGGTTAACCTTAATTCCCATTCTTTAACATTGTACTAAGGCTACCTTAGTGACTTACGATCACCTTAGTGCTTTGTGAAAGGATGCCCTGGTCTGCAGAGCCGTAACATTTATATTCTCTTGAATAGGGACTTTTTTTTGTGTTTCCAATTTACTGATTTATGCTGAGGCCAGATATCAGCCTCTATTAAAGTCTAGATAAATTCTTGTGGTTAATATAGTCCTTTTCTAAAAATATTTTTATCCCCCGCAAAGCAGTTTGCGGGGGGTATTAAAATGGACTCCGTCCGTGCACGTATGTCTTTTCCGGAGCAGAACTCTAAAACCGTTCAATATTTCTTCACCAAACTTGGCACATAGATAGATCTGGTGGTGTACTGGTGCCTTTTGGTAGTTTTGGAATTCTGAATAAAATAGTTTTGACGTTTCCATTGCAACAAGTTTGACTTGCCCTGAAATTGTGGTAGTGCTCTTTTCCGGAGCTGAACTCTAAAACTGTTCACTATTTCTTCACCAAACTTGGCACATAGATAGGCCTGGTGGTGTACTGGTGCCTTTTGGTAGTTTTGGAATTCTGAATAAAATATTTTTGGCGTTTCCATGGCAACAAGTTTGACAGACTGAAATTGGTGATAGTGCTCCTTTCTGGATCAGAATTTTAAGAACCGTTCAATACTCTCCTTCCACTTTTCTATATACACACCTAAATATTTGACATAATCATAACTCGTAGACATAAAACATGAAGAGTAATTTGCCATTGCGGGGGATATTGATGACTTTGTCTTCTTGTTATATATATTTTGGGAGTCACTAACAAACAATAATTTGGGGAAATTCTTATTCATGTGTTAAGTTGAATTTTGGGGAGCCTAATGTGTATGGTTGCTTGAAAAGGATTAATGGTGGTAGTTTGTTGTTAGCGTCTCACTCAGCAATATTCCAGCTATATGGTGGCGGTCTGTAAATAATCGATTCTGGTCCAGACAATCCTGTGATTAACAGCCATCAATCTATGCAGTTGGGATACGATGACAAGGGTCAACCAAGTCAGTGAGTCTCACCCCACGATCCCGTTAACAACAAGCATGGGTTGCTGAAGACCAATTCAAACCCGGCTCTTCACGGGCGTGAAAAGGATTAGGAAACCAAGCTCAGACTTGATAGTTAATAGGTTGCTGTACTTAATAATGTGCCAAGTTGTCTTAAAATTATTATACTACCTTAAAGGTCACATGCAACGTAAAACACAACTTTGCAGATTCTGATACCTTTCGGTATGGACTTACCGAAACAAATAATCAAAAATGCAAATTCAACTTATAAAGTTGAAAAATAACGCAATGAAAAAAACCGCGCGAAATCAGATTTCAAACGATTCACTAATTTTCCCCCGACTTTTCGCGGGAAAACTGGTTTACACAGCTGGGCTGCGCTCATAGCACGTGCGCAGTGAAATAGGTTCGCGTAACTTGGAAGCGGGCTGTCCGGTGAATACTCGGTGAAGGCTTTGGTGTGAGCTATTTTCCTAATGTTTTGTTGATATCTCACAGGCGCGAGCTTTTTATATGTTATGACAGTAAATAAACTGTTGATATAATTTCATTTGTCTATTTCACCACACGTTCTTCTTACCGAGTCACTTTCTCAGTTCGATACTTAAATGCAACTGTGATATAGATATGTCGTTGTCACAGACAAAACTCAATGTCTTGTTTTATTGACACCTGTGTGTCTGCCTGCCTGTCTGCTAATGACAATATTCAATACACAACTGCGATCACTGACCACATGCAATTTGAACTTAACACCAATCAGGCTATACGCCATAAAGAAAATGCATTGATTTATGGCCCGAGTTCGGTCTCTGTCACATTATGTAATTACACAGACAGGCAGGTGTGATACTTGAACACATGACATGTTATGATGTCTGTTGATTGTAAAATGTTATACACAAAAAATGAGCATGTATTTACAAAACCCAACATCTCTCTCTATATATATACACACGATTAACCGTGAAGGCATCTGCAAATGAACCAGCCGTTACACTTGAGTGCACACTCACCCGCTCTGACTGGGTTCGGTATCCTGGCTCCTTCGTTTCTTGGGAAGTAAACCCAAGTACACAATATTGCACTTTTGATTTGCGATTGTATGCTTATAATTTTGTTTATACGTTTTTTCATAATCAGCAATGTATATTATATGTCATGAATAAGTGATAATTGTGTTTTAATTATGTTTTATTTTTTGGTTGCATGTGACCTTTAAAATCAAGAGATGAAATGAGTTATGACTGTGTAGATTAGATAGTTATAATGCTGCTCAACTTAACATGGATAATCAGATGTCATTCTATTTGAATATACACTTGATAAATCATGACAGTATCGTTGATGACAATAATAAAAATATCTGTATCAAGTGGAGTAGTGTGTTAATGTAGCTATACCACATGATTTTTTCATATTGCAGATAACTGAATATAAATAACATTGTCTGACAGCTGACATTCTACTGATATCAGATCACTTTTCCTTTTTGAAATCGGACCATAGATAAATATTTTAGAGGCAAATAAAGCGTCGAAATTCGAGGGCCCGGTCTAGATCAATTTTGTTCATAATTAGTGGAAAGTCGCGGACCGCTTTTTTCGTCAAAAATATCTAAATTTTTCCAAAACTTTGCTGTTGGTTGGTGTATTTAAACAAAATTTGGTACATAGGGTAATTGGATACCACTGATTTCATTTTTGGCATCAGAATTCACATAAATCCAATGGATTAAGAGTTAAAAAATTGAATGAATAGTGAGTACCCGAGTAATATGGACCATGACTCCATGGGAATTCACTGTCTTTAAAGATCATACAAAGATCCTAAATATCATTACATAAACAACAAACACACTCATACCTTTCAAACATTTTTATTCTTGATGTACTCATTAAACATGACCAATGTAAACTTGACAGATAGCAATATCACAGTCAAAACTTATGAATATTTAAATCATTTGTTTTGACTGACATAAGTAGAAATTTCATTGTCCACACAAAAATCAAATGCATCACACACAATTGTCTGTCTCAGCTTGAATACAATAAAGGAATAACAATGTTCACAATATTGTCTGTTAGAAAGTTACTTTCTCCACTGGACTTGACACTTCCTCACATGATTATACAGCCCAATACCTGCAATATCACAAAAAAAAGAAATATAAAATATATGTTAGTTTTTTTGCATGATTATATTTTGTTACTGTTTTGTTTTTACTTTCCAGATGTTCAGTTGCAATAAGTATTACTTGTATTCATGGAATTTCAGTTAACCTGTGTTTCACCAGCTGAAAAATCAACTGAATGTTATGAACTTTTCACTGAAAATCAACCAATAAATAAATAATTTCTGTGCACAGGAATGTACTAAATGCAGATAAAACCATCGCCCCTACATTAGGGGTCCCTTCAAATATTGATTTCTTTTTTGAAGATACTAATGTTACGTACAGTAACATCTAAAAATTGAAATAAACTTACTGTGGGTATGTTGATAAAGTTCAGTGTGAATGTCAGTGTGTGTAAGTGATGTCCATTGTTTTAGGTTTATTTTACAGGCAATCTAAAAATCACACCAAATTTCCGGAAATTCGAAATAGCATTGATCATTGATGCTTGGGGAATAGACAATAAAACACAACCGTTACTTAGAACAAACATATTGGTATGTCGCCTGTAGATCGTTAGTGTTGTTACATTTCGATTGACATTACCCCGCGACCCTACTAAAATGCAGACGTTATCAAAACAATCTAACCATGTCAGTGCACAAGTCAAATTTGCAATTAAAGATCACAAGACAAGATTATCTACCATTTCAGTCCTAATTTGTTTATGCTAGGCACTGTATTATATGCAGGGATTAAGATTACCGTGCGTATTTGTCTCGGTACACAAAGCCGGAAATAGCAATCAGCTGTGCACACCTCCCTGGCGATCTACCGGTGATTCAGTTAAAACATACCCAATAATACAACGGGACAAATTCTGATGCAGTGATCTGAGGAATATAGTATCTAAAACCTTTATTTTAGCAACAGAAATAATTTTGCCATTTTAATTACAGGTTCTTTTGCATAATTGTAAAATATTTATAATCATAACGCAGGTTATGCGGCGGCAGTTTGGTGTTATGCCGGATAGTTTTCACGCGGGGAACATGTCCTGACCTGTCACCGATGACGTTTCGCGCGATCTCGCTATTTCAACTTCGAAAACAGTTTGTTGACATGTTAGCGTCCAGCTACAATAAATATGACTTTTAGCGAAGCAATATCTATATATATCCATTTTCTGTCAACTACACTATCTATATATCATGCTGTTTACAGACCGAACCGAAATCAGCACAATCTGAACTGTCGATCGAGCCGAGGGTAAATACTGCATAGGAACTGTTTCTCGGAATGAAATATTACGTGTAAATTATTTTCATAAAGATTAATTTCAGTAGATGGCGATTTTAGCTTTCATAAGTCACTATTCTGATAATTCGCTATGCATTAACTGTTTGACATTGTGACTGTAAGACAGTAGCCGAAACCGTTAGTGATCTACGGACTGCTGAGCGCTGCTGTTAGTGCTAGCAGGTCGGGCTCAGGGTGGCGAAAATGGGGCGTTTTGAACGGCACTACTTTCATATTACGCGATCTCACGCCGTTTTACCCAATTTTAATATTGTTGATATATACATCAAAATAAAGGGGAAATGTTGCTCTTTATGCTACGCGATGTTACAGATTGAAAACGGACTTACCTTGCAAATGGCGAGTACTTGAAAATGGGGAACTTTTCAAACGCCAATTCCACATCGTTCCACTTCATTCGTCGAAATATAAAATATACCACATGAAAGACCATCTTCTGATCTTATTGTCCACCAATTTTTATGACATTTCAACTCGAAACAGCAGCACCACGGTGCTTTGAAAATACCCCGACGAAACTGGGCACTGCCATCAAACGGTCCACGGGACGGGACCATCGACAGATTGACAAAGCTGACATTCACCTCGCTGTCACTAATTAACTGAACAAACAACAAACACCATTTTTTGATATTATTTACTTTAATGTGTTTTCTAAACATATCAGAAGAAATAACTGAAAAAGATTCAATAGTTTTTCTGTAGTATGCGAATAAAGAAATTATTCCAGGGTAATTAGCCAAATCTAGTCAATTAGTGGGGGGCAGTGGTATAGCTAGTTAATGAATGTTGGTTTCTAGGATGACTGTTTTTGTTCCAGTCATGAGGATGAGCCGGTTGTGATAGATGACTGGCCTGGAGGTGGAGGAGGCAAAGGGGGCAAGATGATGAGGGAGAAGAGCTATCGTTCCTCCGCTAGACGGAAACCGGGAGAAGACGAGGAAGAAGAGGTATGTACATCATGGCTTCAGATATTCTTAGCTGTGTGATGTGTGATTTAATATACTAGGAACAAACGACCAAGTCTTGCCTGTCAATACACTTAAGCTTGATTTGTCTGTGTCGTGGCATTTTGATGTATGAACAGAAGGGCACATGAGTGGCCTCCCTTTTCAGATCTGTCACATTTTGTGTATTTTGTAGAGGTGGAAGAATGCATTCTTTTTGAAGTTATTGATTTTATTTTTCTAACATTTTTTCATGACATGAAATGCAGTGTGTACTTTCATCCAGTTATATGATGATATTGTCTGACACCTCGTATGAAAGAGTGATTTTATTGCACAATATTCTGATACTGGATAAATGAATAAATTGTTTTAATTCTTTTATGAGTGGTCATGCTGGTATGAGCCAGGGTCCAGTTCCACAAAATGTTTGTAGTGTACATTATTTTTAAGTCTACAATAAACTATAGAGATACGACAGGTCGTAACATTACAAAGGCTTTGTGAATCGGGTCCCAGGGATTTGGTAGCATCTTCATGCTCTTCATGCTTTCAAGACGGATACTGAATTTGCTGTGCAGAGTTTTGGCCCTTGATTGTGACCAAAACCTGTAATAACTGGTCCAAATCTCAGTAGATTCATCAGGACCATGCCATTCAGTTGCACTCAGGTGATAGAATGAAACACTGGTCAAAATGTCATTGTACCAAATTTACTCTTGAATAGGATAAACAAGGTGTATTGTTTGTGCAATTTTTTCTGTTAGGTAGTTTGCTGCCCAGGCACAATTGTGGACTGCACTCACACACCACACTTCAAATATATAATGAGACCACATTGATTATGCATTAAGTAATTTTTAGCATAATTTGAATATATGTACAAGTATCACAAGATGTTTTGCTTGAAGACCCGATATACCTTGCCACAACTCATCTTGTTACTTATCCAGTACATGATGATATTGTCTGACACCTCGTATGAATCAAAGTGATTTCATTGCACAAAAATCTGATACTGGATAAATGAATTACAGTATTGTTGGGGTTTCTTTTATGGTTGGTTGGTTGGTGCCGCCACCAATATTCCAGCCATATTGGTGGTGGTCTGTAAATAATCGAATCTGGACCAGACAGTCCAGTGATCAACAGCATGAGCATCGATCTACGCAGTTTGGATACATGTCATGTTGGTATGAGCAAGGGATTTGTTAGCACAATTTGCATGCATTCTCACCACATCACACCACGCTCCACACCCTGCTCCACACCACACCACACCACACCACGTTCCGCACCACACCACACCACACCACACCACACCACACAACACACACAAACCACTTTGCCCTGCCACACCACACCACACAAATTGAGTGTGTATTGCTGCAGTATAATATGATTGAAGATTTGTTGACCTTGCCACAACTCATCTTGTTACTTATCCAGTACATGATGATATTGTCTGACACCTCGTATGAATCAAAGTGATTTCATTGCACAAAAATCTGATACTGGATAAATGAATTACAGTAATGTTGGGGTTTCTTTTATGGTTGGTTGGTTGGTGCCGCCACCAATATTCCATCCCATATTGGTGGTGGTCTGTAAATAATCGAATCTGGACCAGACAGTCCAGTGATCAACAGCATGAGCATCGATCTACGCAGTTGGGATACATGTCATGTTGGTATGAGCAAGGGATTTGTTAACACGATTTGAATACATTCTCACCACTCCACGCCTCACCACACCTCGCTCCACACCACACCACACCTCACCACACCGCGTCACACCGTCCGTGTACATACCACGCCGCACCGCACAAATCGAGTGTGTATTGCTGCAGTATAATATGATTGAAGATGTGTTGACCTTGCTGCAACCCATCTTGTTACTTATCCAGTACATGATGATATTGTCTGACACCTCGTATGAATCAAAGTGATTTCATTGCACAAAAATCTGATACTGGATAAATGAATTACAGTAATATTGGGGTTTCTTTTTTGGTTGGTTGGTTGGTGCCGCCACCAATATTCCAGCCATATTGGTGGTGGTCTGTAAATAATCGAATCTGGACCAGACAGTCCAGTGATCAACAGCATGAGCATCGATCTACCCAATTGGGATACATGTCATGTTGGTATGAGCCAGGGATTTGTTAACACAATTTGCATGCATTCTCACCACTCCACACCACACCACACCACACTCCACACCACACCACACCACACCACACACCACACCACACCACACTCCACACCACACCACACCACACCACACCACACCACACCACACACCACACCACACCACACACCACACCACACCACACCACACCACACCACACTCCACACTGCACCGCATAGCACAGATTGAGTGTGTATTGCCGCAGTATAATATGATTGAAGACTTGTTGACCTTGCCACAACTCATCTTATTATCCATGCAGTACGTGATGATATTGTCTGACACCTCGTATGAATCAAGGTGATTTCATTGCACAAAAATCTGACACTGGATGTTTAATATACATGTGAATCTTGTGAGGATAAGTCAGTCAAGTTAGCAAGGAACAAGAAGACATTGTAGAGTTCTCATTTGGATGGATGGCTGCCAAATAAGACCAGCACTCACATGAACAGGCTGATAAATGCCTACGGCTTTGTCAATACTGTGAGAGTTCTTAGTTTCAGACACCTATTATCTCCCACAACACGTTTCGCGGTGGGGTATTAAAATGGACTACGTGTATGGGTGCATGTGTGTGTGTGTGTGTGCGTATGCGTGTCAGTACACATTTGTCTTTTTCGGAGCAGAACTTTAAAACCGTTCAATATTTCTTCACTAAACTTGGCACATGAATAGATCTGGTGGTGTACTGGTGCCTTCTGGTAGTTTGGGTATTCTGAATAAACTAATTTTTGCGTTTCCATGGCAACAAGTTTGACTTCGATTGAAATTGGTGGTAGTGCTCTTTTCCAAAGCAGAACTTAAAAAACGTTAAAAACTATTACTTCATTAAACTAGGCATATATACTAGGCACATAAGAAACTGTGGATACAAAAATTTAAAATCTAAATTTATCAAACCTGTGTAGACACATAAGGATTTAAACTCAGAGATTAGTGACTTGTATCCAACGTGGCATGCACGCAAGCCACGCCCGTGATGTCATCAGTGGGTTCGCATGCCCGGAGACGCAGGTAATACGTTGTTGCACGCGGTTGGTGTTATTCGAAAGAGAAACGGAGCAAATGATTGCCACACAATACTGTCACTTTGGAAAGCTCAACCCCTGCCAATCGCGATCGCGTTTCAAAAAAATTAAACGGCTATTGAAACCCATAGCATGCCAAGGCTCACGTTTGCAGAACGTCATGAGGCCATTGGGATGGTCCGTGGGGGAATGTCTCAACGACTAGTGGCTGCACATTTCCACTGCCACTTGAGCACCATTTTTGCACTGGTGAGACACTACCAGAACACAAATGAAGTCATCGATCGGCCACGTTCTGGACGTCCACGTGTAACAACACCAAGACAGGACATATGGATAAGGGTGACCTTCTTCGCCACAGGTTTCAGACTGCAGTGATGACTGCCTGAACCATCCCAGGACTTCGGCATATCCACCCCAACACAGTTCGACAACGTTTACGTCATCACGGGATCAGATCACGACGTCCCGCCATACGGCCTATCCTGACACAACGTCATCGACAAGCTCGCCGAATGTGGTGCCGAAATCATTTCTGCAGGCCCTTGTTTTGGTGGAGAAATGTTTTTACAGATGAGTCCAGGTTTAACATTTCCTCATAGTGATGGACGCCAACGCGTGCCTATAGACGCGTGGAGAACGTTATGCACAGGCCTGTGTCTTGGAGAGGAATCGCTTTGGTGGTGGTTCCGTGATGATTTGGGGTGGAATAACAGCACGCCAAAGAACTCCTTTGGTGATTGTTCAGGGCAACTTAACTGGTGTGGGCTACAGGGATCAGATTCTTCGACCTGTGGCAATTCCTTTTCTGCAACGTCATGGCCCTGGGTTAACATTCCAACAGGACAATGCCCGCCCTCATACAGGAAGGGTTGCTATGGATTCCTTGCAACACCACAACATTGACTTGCTGCCTTGGCCTGCAGATTCACCGGATCTCTCCCCGATAGAGCATGTTTGGGACGATATGGATGGACGTCCACGCCGTCTTCCTCATCTGCCAGATAACGTCCTTGACCTTGCAACAATTTTGGCATTTCCGTGGCAACAAGTTTGACTTCGATTGAAATTGGTGGTAGTGCTCTTTTCCAAAGCAGAACTTAAAAAACGTTAAAAACTATTACTTCATTAAACTAGGCATATATACTAGGCACATAAGAAACTGTGGATACAAAAATTTAAAATCTAAATTTATCAAACCTGTGTAGACACATAAGGATTTAAACTCAGAGATTAGTGACTTGTATCCAGCGTGCATGCGCGTACCCACGTTCGTGATGTCAGTGGGTTAGATCGCCAGAGGCGTGCAATCACGTTGTTGCCGCGTGCATTCGAAAAGAAGCGGGCAAATGATTGCCACAATACTGTCACTTTGGAAAGCTCAACCCCTGCCAATGCGATCGTTCAAAAAAATTAAACGGCTATTGAAACCCATAGCATGCCAAGGCTCACGTTTGCAGAACGTCATGAGGCCATTGGGATGGTCCGTGGGGGAATGTCTCAACGACTAGTGGCTGCACATTTCCACTGCCACTTGAGCACCATTTTTGCACTGGTGAGACACTACCAGAACACAAATGAAGTCATCGATCGGCCACGTTCTGGACGTCCACGTGTAACAACACCAAGACAGGACATATGGATAAGGGTGACCCTTCTTCAGCATACAGGTTTCAGACTGCAGTGATGACTGCCTGAACCATCCCAGGACCGGCATATCCTCCCCAACACAGTTCGACAACGTTTCGTCATCCGCGGGATCGATCCACGACGTCCGCCATACGGCCTATCCTGACACAAGCGTCATCGACAAGCTCGCCGAATGTGGTGCGAAATCATTTCTGCAGGCCCTTGTTTTGGTGGAGAAATGTTTTACAGATGAGTCCAGGTTTAACATTTCCCATAGTGATGGACGTCAACGTGCCTATAGACACGTGGGAGAGCGTTATGCACAGGCCTGTGTCTTGAGAGGAATCGCTTTGGTGGTGGTTCCGTGATGATTTGGGGTGGAATAAACAGCAGCCAAAGAACTCCTTTGGTGATTGTTCAGAGCAACTTAACTGGTGTGGGCTACAGGGATCAGATTCTTCGACCTGTGGCAATTCCTTTTCTGCAACGTCATGGCCCTGGGTTAACATTCCAACAGGACAATGCCCGCCCTCATACAGGAAGGGTTGCTATGGATTCCTTGCAACACCACAACATTGACTTGCTGCCTTGGCCTGCAGATTCACCGGATCTCTCCCCGATAGAGCATGTTTGGGGCGATATGGATGGGCGTCCGCCGTCTTCCTCATCTAACAATTTTGGCATTTCCATGGCAACAAGTTTGACTTCGATTGAAATTGGTGGTAGTGCTCTTTTCCAGAGCAGAACTTAAAAACCGTTCAATGTTTCTTCACCAAATTTGGCACATAGATAGTTCTGGTGGTGTACTGGTGCCTTCTGGTAGTTTGGGACTTCTGAATAAAATATTTTTGGCGTTTCCTTGGCAACAAGTTTGATTTAGACTGAAATTGGTGGTAGTGCTATTTTCTGGAGCAGAACTCTTGAAAAACCTTTCAGTACTCTCCTTCCACTTTTCTATATACACACCAAAACATTTGACATAATCATAACTCGTAGACATATTCATGAAGAGTATTTTGCCATTGCGGGGGATATTGATGACTTTGTCTTCTTGTCTCGTATCAATACTGCCATGAACCTGTGAAGGATCTTCAGTAACCAATCCTTGTTGTAAGAGGAGACTAACGGATCGGGTGGTCAGGCTCGACGATTTGGTTGACACAAGTCATGTCATTGTATCCCAATTGTGTAGATCAATGCTCATGCTGTTGATCACTGTATTGTATGGTCCAGTCTCGATTATTGACAGACCACCACAAATAAAGAAACACTGTCATTGTATCCCAATTGTGTAGATCAATGCTCATGCTGTTGATCACTGTATTGTATGGTCCAGTCTCGATTATTGACAGACCACCACAAATAAAGCTGGAATATTGCTGAGTGCGGCATAAAACTAAGCTTGCTGCACTCACTCACTCACTCACTCACTCACTGCTCCTTACCATGGCATGTTGGTTCTCATAATTTGGTCATATGTAAATCTGTGACACAACTGAATATCAATCTGAACAGTTGTAGTACAGTATACAATGTAACACTAAATGAGGATCAAGCTGAAAGTGTTGTTATGAGGGATATGCTTGTTGCAGGTTGAGCCTCCACCACTCAAGACAGACTTCACCCTACCTGTAATGAGTATGCCTGCATTCAACTTCAAGCCAACACCGGGTTTGGCGAAGAAAGATAAGACTGTGTCGCGACCTGTGGAGGGGGACAAGGCTGCCAACCTCAAGTTCACATTTTCAACCCCAATACAGAAGAGTGGGCCTTCAGGTTCAACGACTTCTGAAAGGGCAGAGGTAGGGCACATGGGGAATTGTTGTAAAATCATGATTCACCCCAACTGATCAGTCTTTACTGTTCTGGTTGATCATAATGCGAGGGAATGTAGTCAACGCCTCGTCCGTCCGTCAGTCATCATTTCGATTCCAGAGCATGATGATAAAATTTAAATATTTTTCAACTAAAAACTTGGTATATATGGAAACAAAACCTTTCAATATCCTAAAGTGGTGCCTTTTGCTTTGTTATTTACAGATATTTGGCATTTATATTTATCATGATTACCATTGAAACGATTTGGACTTAGCTTAAGACAATCAAGTTGAACTTTAAGTAACTGTCAGATGACACTCACTCACTCACTCACTAGTACTCTTAAACGAGCAGAATGATGTTAATTTCGAAAAACTATTCTGAGGAAATAATGTGGTTTGATGGCTCTCCGTGTGTGTCAGCACACATTTAATTTACTCTGTCATTGACCTGACAGTGTTATTGTTATCCCCCGCAACGCGTTTTGCGAAGAAAGATATTAAAATGGAGTCCGTCCGTCCGTCCATGCGTGCACATTTGTCTTTTCCGGAGCAGAACTCTAAAACCGTTCAATATTTCTTCACCAAACTGGGCACATACATAGATCTGGTGGTGTACGGGTGCCTTTTGGTAGTTCGGGATTTCTGAATAAAATATTTTTGTCATTTCCATGGCAACAAGTTTGACATAGACTGAAATTGGTGATAGTGCTCCTTTCTGGAGCAGAACTTTAAAAACCTTTCAATACTCTCCTTCCACTTTTCTATATACACATCTAAATGTTTGACATAATCATAACTCGTAGACATAATCATGAAGAGTACTTTGCCATTGCGGGGGATATTGATGACTTTGTCTTCTTGTTTAGTGTAATAATGGTTTCATTAATGTAATATTAATATCAATAAATGGCTGTCATTTTTGTAATGAATGTTAAAAGACCATTAGATAATAAAAGGCATTTGGACTTATCATACATGATTATGTATGTGTGAATGATGCCACTATTTTTCATTGTCCTATCCTCACAGGGTTTCAAGTTCAGTTCCCCTCTCAAAGTCACAGACAAAGAGTCCTTGCCTAAATCATCCACATTCACTGCCATTGGTGGTAGTCAACCAGCTTTTAAACCATTGCTGAATTCCTCAGTCACTGCACCTGTCTGCAAGCTAGGAAATGGAGGTAAGATCTGGAATTCGGACGTGTTACCCAATGGGAATATTGAATCTGTTAAGTAGTTTCAGTCTTTCCTTACACATTACAGAATATTCTGCTGCCAGAGTCTTGCATCTTGCACTGATAGATGCATCATTGAATAAAGTTGGCATGAAGTTCGACCAAGGCCTGATCCACTCACCTCACTATGGTCAGAAGGATGCAATTGGACCCAGACTCGATCCATTCACATCAAGATAGTAAAAAGCATGTAATTGCTGACTGCAGCATGATAACATTACAGAGTTTTAGTTTGGTTCTTTTTCTGGAACATTGATTGTTATCAAAACTGTCCTTCAGCTGTTTTTCAAATTTCATTATGTTTGTGATATAGATCGTATTTGAGATTACTGCTGTCTTATTCCAGTGCATGATGATACTCTCTGACACCTCATATGAGAGAAATGATTTCACTGCAAATGCATAATCTGATGCTGGAATCACTATATCTAATCAGATGTATATATACTGTTCAACTATTGCTAGGGAGAACACCATTAAAGACTAGTTTGCCCCCAGTAAATGTTATAACTATTTAAGTGTGGTGTTGTACAAGAACTACATGTAGGGCAATGTTACAGGTATTGGCATGAACATGAAGCCTCCAGTGAGCAGTGGACAGGCTTTTAAACCTGCTGAAGTTCTGAAGAAGGGGAGCGTGATGGATGTATTAGGTGGAGGTGCTTTCAAGCCTTCCTCAGATCTGAAACAAGGGAGTGTGATGGACGTTCTTGGGAAAGATGGTCCCAAGTCTACTGGAGTAGCAAGCCAGTTGAAGTCTGGCAGTGTTATGGACATTCTGGGGAAAACTTCCAATGATACTAGTTCTTCACCATCAGGGTTTAAACCTGCACTGCAACTGAAAGAGGGGAGTGTCATGGACATCTTAGGCAAGGGTAAGCTCACGATATTTGAAAATCTCCACACAAAACAGAGTTATGGCCCTTGTTTGTTAGGGTTTATGGTTTTGCTAAATTGAGGATAACATCCATTTTAAGAGACTAACTAAGAATTATTTCATAGGTTTTCTCTGACCTATACACATCAGGAATGTGCTAAAATGGCACCTCAGTTTTTCTGGGATTTTCAACAAAAAGGATTTCCTTTGGTTTTTCCAAGGTAACAGATTTTTCAATGATTCCACACCTTTACAAATGTACTGGGCAATTTGGCAATTGATATATTGTTTCTACCAAAATATTGACAAATTATTTGTGATTGTAATCGTGAAAGGATGGCGGGGGTTGTAGATGACCACATCTTGTTATCCCCCACAATGTAACACGTTTTGGGGTGGGGATGTATTAAAATGCACTCCATCCGTCCGTCCATGCGTGCACATTTGTCTTTTTCGAGCAGAACTTTTAAACCGTTCAATATTTCTTCACCAAACTTGGCACATAGATAGGTCTGGTGGTGTACTGGTGCCTTTTGGTAGTTTTGGATTTCTGATTATTATATTTTTTGCGTTTCCATGGCAACAACTTTGACTTTGACTGAAATTGGAGTTGGTGCTCTTTTCCGGAGCAGAACTTTAAAACCTTTCAATACTCTCCTTCCACTTTGCCATATACACACCAAAACATTTGACATAATCATAACTAGTAGATATATTCATAAGAGTATTTTGCCATTGCGGGGGATATTGATGACTTTGTCTTCTTGTTCAGGTTTAGAATGCCAGTGAAATTTCCAACTCATGATACAATATTGAGATAGCATATTGTTCTTCTCCAACACATGATGATAACATCTGACACCTCGTCTGACCAACATGATTACTGCTTGAACCTGATGCTGGAGGAACCATAAGAGAGTCTGTGTTATAATAAGCTTAGTGCATTCTGGACATGTTCCAGCTGACCTCCCAACTGTATCACTGGGCATCTCCCATTACTCATGGCTTGTATGTTGCAGGAAAAGACAAAACTCCAGTTTCAAGTAACCCTATGACCAAGTTCTGCAAAAAGCCAGGGGAATGGGATTGCGACACCTGTCTTGTACAGAATAAGTCTGAGGCCACTAAATGTGTCGCATGTGGAACTTCCAAGCCGGGGTCGGGGCCGAAACCACCTCCTCCATCAGGTAGGAACATCATTTGGGGTTTGTTGAGCTAATGGGCTGAGCCAGTTTCCGTATTCCATGAACTGGAAAATATGTCCTCCTTTCTACAAATGAAATATTTCTGTGACTTTCAGAAGAAGAAAAAATTCTGCTAGCTTTGGACCATTTAAGCAGCTTCATGTAGCAGAATTTAGGAAATGTCCACATTCCTGATATTACCTATATCTGTTACAGAAAAGGATCTCTGAGTTCTGGCCAGCCAAGCCTGTCGTCCATGTTCAAACCTTCCGCTGGAAGTTGGGACTGTGGCACATGCATGATTCAGAATAAGCCAGAGGATACCAAATGTGTGGCCTGCAGTACTCCCAAGCCTGGAGCTGCAGCAACAGGTAAATATTATCCTTTTAATTGGTGTCAATATGTAAGGTAATATTACTTGTCATTACATCATCTATTGCAGACTCTCCTGTCAGTCACTATCCATTCAAGTCAGCCTGCCTGTATATATAATATATTTGTTATCACCCACAACACATTTTGTGGGGGGTATTATTTTGGACTCCGTGCAGTTTCGTCTTTTAGAGGAGAACATAAAAACTGTTCTATGTTTCTTCACTAAACTTGGCACATAGATAGGTCTGCTGGTGAACTGGTGGTTTTTGATAGTTTTGGATTTCTGAATAAAATAATTTTTGCATTTCCATGGCCAAAAATTTGACTTTGACTGAAATTGGTGGTAATGCTACTTTCCGGAGCAGAACTTTATAACCTTTCAATACTCTAATTACATTTGTGGGTATTCAAGAACCTAATGACATAAATCAACAGTACCCCTCTATTTCTGTATCAGCATTAATGAGGGACATCAAACTGTGGAAGAACTCAGGCAGTCTGTTATTGATACAAGCATGCTAGTATATTAATGGATTACGCATGTTTTCGTTCAATCAATGTGAAGAACAATGTAACATCTGACATTCATAACTAGTTGACATATTCACAAAGAGTATTTAACCATTGAGGGGGATATTTATGACTTTGTCTTCTTGTTGATATTGCTTGACAAGCTGCACAATTTGACACAGTGAGTACAGGGTTGGGTACCTCTGATAATATCCAGCTGAGCCACAATTTATTTCTGACAAGTGATTTACATACAATAAGCAGTTTTATTCCTCGATTTCCACAGGCCACTAACTAAAAGACAAATTGATGTGTCTTTCTGGTAATGTTTGCTTTATCTTGAAATGAGAATTCCAGCGTGTGAACTACCTATAGGACACTGTGGAAGTGATCTCTTTTTTCTCCATTTTTCATGAGTCATTTAATGTAAAAGCTTTTTCGTAACAGATATCCCTGTTAAATGCCTGTGCAATGTTTTTCAACTAAAGGTACCGGATCTCTGAGTTCTGGCCAGCCAAGTCTGGCATCCATGTTCAAGTCGTCGGCTGGAAGTTGGGACTGTGGCACATGCATGATTCAGAACAAGCCAGAGGACACGAAGTGTGTGGCCTGTAAAACTCCTAAACCTGGAGCTTCAACAACAGGTAGTCTGCCTAGAGTAATTAGTCCAGTCACTGTACTTCTCTAGGTCCAGTCTCATCTCTTCAATGTCCAGGAACATTTGTAAGCTGAGCTGCAGCTTGCTCTTGATGGTGATGATGGTTCTGAGAGCAGAGTTGGCATTGGCACATTGTTAGAAACAAATATCCTTTAGTTCTTGTTCATGGATTTAATAACATTAGTGTCATAATGGTTATGAAAATATGAAGGGTTCACCTCTCGAAGTGGGAGGGGGTATTGGTTTGAGTTCCGTCCTTCCTTCTGTCCTTACCTGCGTCCTAGATGATAGGGACCGATTTTCTCAAAAACGGTTACAGGTAGGGAAACCAAGTTTGATATGTGGTTTCAGGACATGTATGCCTTGATGGAGTCTGAAAACTGTATGTGAAATGGATATATTTGGATTCACATAGGAGTAGTGTAACACACCGCTTTATATATGTACTTATGTATCGCATGTGTAACATCTGTCCTTATGCTAATGATAATAATAAAAAGAGAGTTTGAAAACAGGAACCAAATAGGAACACAACACTGTTGTTATTGTGTAATTTTGTTATTTCATTTATCCTTCATGGAGTTAGTCCATCTTGAATGAGTGTTTGGTTGCATCTGGTTTTGTTTAGGAGATTAATTTAGTACAATGTAAAGATTGCTTTGTAATTTGTCAGGTAAAGAAACAGGATCTCTGAGTTCTGGCCAGCCAAGTCTGGCGTCCATGTTCAAGTCGTCTGCTGGAAGTTGGGACTGTGACACGTGCATGATTCAGAACAAGCCAGAGGACACCAAGTGTGTGGCCTGCAGTACTCCCAAACCTGGAGCTGCAGCGACAGGTAAATATGAAGTTGGATGAATGTGCTTGCTGCAGTTGAGATTCTGTATACATTGGAACATGGTTAATGCTGTATTTCATTACACCATCAAAGTGAAATATGTGTGTCGCATGTTTTCTCATGTAAGTTCCTGATTCTATGGTGATGACATTGACTTTTTGTAGTACATGTGTACCTTGAGACAGATAACCTGTATGACCATGTCAGACTGTGCTGAGGTCTCTGAGCTTGGTGCAAGGGCAGTTGAACCCATTGAGGGAACTTTTACTTCTGACCTAGGGTCTGTTTGGCTCAAGCAAGATTGTTCCTAACCCATCATAATACATTAAGGGTCAGTGCAGTGTTCACGAATGGTGTTGCAAGGTGACAGGACATTGGGTCCTGTAAGTTTCAAATGTCTGTCTGACCCACTGAAAATTCACAGGACTCACAGAATAAAAGTTGAACACACATTTCAGATTTTACATTTCTTATAAATGGCCTTGAAATTATGAACAAATATGAGTGTCACATATAACAACCTCAGTCAAAGTCATTGTGAAATATGTCAGTGGGGTGGCGTAGTATTTAAAGCGTCCACTCATCATGCCGTAGAACTGGGTAACAATGTGAAGAAAATTTCTGACGCTCCCTCCATGTTGTTGCTGGAATATTGCTAAAAGTTGTGTGCTGATTGTGTAAAGCAGTTGTATCTTATAGCAGGAACATAACAAACAGAACATATGAAGCAATATTTTTTTCGCTTGTTGTTCAGTGATTGTACATAATTTCTTACTAGTTTTGGTGGTTTATTATGATACCAGTGGTTTCATAGCAAGAAACCTAAGGCAATACTCAGTTCTACTGTATCCATAGCATGAGGCTGTGGTTCAAGTGTTACAGCCTATGTCAAGCCCAACTCAGCTAGTCTAAACTGCTGAGAACAAACTCTTCAGGATAATTACTATTTCACCCTCTTGCTCTAGGTACACCGGAGACAAAGACAAGCAGTACAATCAGTGCATCTGGATTCCAAATCAGTGGAACTCTGTTTGGCAGTGGAACAGCTTCGAGTGGAGGAGGGTTTGGTGGCTTTGGCAAGTCAGCTTCATCCATTGGAGGCTTCAGCATGGGATCGACAGATTCAAAGAATGCTGGTTCGGAAGGTGGATTTAAAATTGGTTCTGGCTTTAGTTTTGGGTCCACTAAGGGAAGTGACTTGAAATCTCCATCTAGTGACAGTGGAGCTAAAGATGGAGGAAGTTCTAATAAAGGTGATTCAAATAATGTATCAAATGTACTTAGCTCTCAAAAAACTTCTAGTATATCAGGTGGCTTTCAATTTGGAACCGTCATTAAGAATCCAGTTCAAGAATTGGAAGGCATTGTGAACAGTTCTTTCAAATCCAGCACAGAGACCCAAGTGTCTGAATCTAAATCGTCAGGGTTTGGATTTGGTGTGTCAGCATCTGAGGCCAGTAAAACAAGTGCTTCTAGTGAACCTAGTGGAACAGACTCATCCAATGGAAAATTAGCCTTTGGACAAAAATCAGACTCTACTGCAGAGAAAAAGAATGATAATATATTTGGTTCAGTGAATTCCCTGAGCGGTGGAACAGGTTTTAGTTTTGGTCAGAGTGGAGCCACATCAGTTGCTTCTTCACCTGGGGGATTCTCGTTTGGAGCAACGGCAGCCGCCACAACGGCTACATCTAACACAACATCTAAAGGTGAGTCAAGCATGTTATAATCCGATAACCTGAAAAGCAGCAAGACCAAGGCTTTAAGCATGTTTGAAACATTACATGCACTGAATGAATGCTGACTGCTATCTTAAAGGCATTGCAAGTATGTTATGGTAACCACAGAGAATGTTCACAGCTTAGAGCTGGCTGAACTGGTCTCATTTCATACCCAAAAGTTCCCTCATGTGTCCCCCACTGATGACAGTGTCTTACATTTATGAGGAGGTTTAAGGGTATTAAGTCATAATGTCCTGAAACAAATGTTTCGGGAGAATCTGAATTATATTATAACAGGAAACTCTTAAGACTTCCCTTCTAACACTGCATGACAGCTGTTGAGCGTTATTGATTCCCTGTACATTAATGACAGTGTGTACACACTGACACTTCCGTGGATGATTATATCTAAGGGATAAGTTTCTGCTATGGTCTATTTCCTTTGCAGGAATTGCATCCAGTGGGTTTTCCTTCGGACAAGACAAGACCGACAGTAAGCCTGTGTTTGGCACTACTCAATCTGCTGCTACGGAAGGTAGCAAGTCAGCTGCTGCTGCCACCACGAACAGCTCCCTGTTTACATTCGGTCAACCAGTCGCTGGCGGCAACACAGACAACAACAAACCTCTGGGAGTGGGTGGGGGATTCCCCTTTACTGCCAACACAGACACATCAACAGCAGCAGCAGCAGCAGCCCCGAAACGAGGACGGGATGAGGGTGAGAGGGATTCTCATGAAAGAGGAATGATAGAAAATAACAATCATCAGAATGCATACATGCATTTGGCCCTCCTATTTTACTGTGTTGTTTCATTGTCTTGTCTTGAGTCTTATAACTGCTGGGGGAAAAAGAATACTAAATTTGTAAAGATGGACATTGTATCCCTTCATCTGTCCATGTCGTAGTCCTAATGTTAATACTTCAGAACTTTGAGATGCTTGCAGTTTAAGTCATGCTAAAGTTTTAGCTCCATCAGTCTTTTACATAATGTATCAATTGACTATATATGTTGAATCCATATTTCAGAGACTGGAGCTCCTGTAGCCAAAAAGTCCTTCTCGTTCGGGCAGTCCACAAACTCTACCTCAACAGGTGGCTTCAGCTTCGGTGCGTCAGCATCTGCGACAACTGCCAGTGGCGTCTTTACCTTCGGTGCCAGCTCCACCAGCAGTGGTGAGTTAGCAGACAAATACTCCCTTTGAAGCATGGAAGCATAGAAACTGATTCGTGGTTATGTTACTGGTATTGGTCCATGTAACACTATTTTGGACCCTCCCTAATGCCTGGACATAGGGGGGTGGCAGTTTAGAGTCATGCATACTTTGTCCAGTATCGGTAATTGTTTTAGTAGGTGTTGCAGATCCAACTCAGTAGCTTTGATATTTTAGTACAGGACATTATTGATGATAATCATTAAGACTTTAGCAGACTGCTTGAGATAAAGGCTCATTTTGAACCACTCAGCAAATGTTGGCAGAATAACATTGATGATCAAGAATACATAAAACTTTGAAACTAGGTGGTAAAATACACAGTACATCTTCATCAGTTTTGACATAGTTCTCCTTCTGTATGTCTGCCTTCATTACAGCATCAACTGCGGCAGGGACAGGGACGACAACTTCAACTCCATCATTCTCATTTGGAGCTGCCCAGCCAGCACCTCCTGCAAACACACCTTTCCAGTTCTCCGCTCAAACAGCATCCTCCGGAACCAACTCAGTATTCCAGTTCGGGAGCAACTCCGCTGGACCACAGACAGGGTTTTCATTCGGTTCCTCAACCCCGGTAACAACTGCAGCACCGTTCGGCACAACCAACACGCTTCCTCAGCCAGCATTTGGCAACACCGCCAACAGCACCCCTCAGACCGGAGCCCAGGGTGGGGGTATGTTCAGTAACTCTACGTCGGTGTTTGGAGCCAACAATAGTGCCACGCCAGTGCCTGCATTCGGAGCTGCAGATCAGAACGCCAACTCAGGAGGTTTCTCATTCAAGATGGCAGGCACAAACAACCAAAGTAAGCCGTTTCAGATAAGAATTTTCAGTTATAGAGTCCAAATACACATATTTTGGGTGGATGAGAGATTTTGAGATGTAGTAGAGAAGTAGCCTCAGTCCCAAGTCAGGAATTAGTTTGTTTTCAGATTTGTCAGTGTAATCAAACTGGTACTGTGAATCTCCTGTAAAGGTTTCTTCGCATATGATATATAAATGTTTGAGAGAATGGCTTCAAAGCATGAAGTTTTAGAATAAATGTAATTATAAACTGAACCCTTGACATACATCAGATTTGGTACAGTGAAGGAGCTCCATATGAAACATTTCCTTCAGTGCCTTGTGGCTCTCTTGCAGGTTCCAGCACTCTTAACTCTCAGCCCAGCTTCAACTTTGGGGGAGGAGGAAGTGGAGGGGTGTTCCAGTTCACTGCTAAAGGGGTGAGTATACATGCAAATTGGTTTAGGGGTATATATACATGGGGGATTGCACATAGGACAGTGATGTATGGGTTGGCCGGGAGATGTGCGTTCCCATCTGTGCAGAGTTGTATCCCTTTGTGGCTGTAGCATTATTGTTGTGGGTTCAAACCCCATGGTCTTTAGCATGACATGCCATGGTGTAACTGAAATAGTGTTCGAGATTGTATTGTAATGAAGCACCTGTGAAGATATGGCATCAATTTCGTCTTCAGTATCCCAAGGGGCTTGTAAGAGGAAACTAACAGGATCATGCTAGCTGACTTGTTTGACACATGTCATTGTATCCCAGTTGCGTTGATCAATGCTCATGCTATTGATCACTGATTGTCTGGCCCAGTATCAATTATTCACTGACTGTCGCCATTTTGCTGGAATATCGCTATGAGTGGGATAAACAATAACAAAAAAACATAACAAATCCTACTGAATCTCTTGCTGTGTACTCTCTAGCTAGTTCATCAGATGTATGTGTTTAGGATGTATCACTGTTACAGAATGAGACATCTGCCGGAGCACCAGCCCAGGGATCCACATCGTCAGGGTTTTCCTTTGGTGGTACCCAACAGCCTCAACCGGCAGCCCCTGCCCCAACCTTCAACTCCACCAACACCATGAGCTTTACAGGTGGCAACACTCCCAGCTTCACCATCGGGTATGGATCTTTCAATACAATACTGTGTGGACCTAGGTTTCTGATCATATTATGCAACCACGAAACTACGAATCCTTTTTACTTTGAGGACCCAGTCTCTTGCACTCTCCTGTGTGAGAGTCAGAAAGCCACTACGAAATGAAGGCAGACAATGATTTTCTTTGCAGGTATTTTGGGTAATAAGTCATAAGAAAATAGATAGATCAGTCCATAATAGTTCTTTCTATCAATCTAGCTATCTATCACATTAACTGGCTACTTCCACACTCCAACTTTAGGTACCGGTACCTATTTTCTCACGCTGTTTGCACATTCTTTTCAGGAGCACTCCAGAACCGGGGGAGAAGAATCAAACGTGCAGTAAGGAAAATCCGGAAATAGAAAGGATATTGCTGTACAGTCTCACATTGGGTGTAAGCTCTTCCCACCCTGATGAAGAACTGGGTGGATGAGTCTCAGAAATGCCATTGTTAAATGTGTCACTTATTGTGACACGCATAACCTCTCTGTTGAAAGGAAGAGAGGGAGGGTGGAATTCATCATTCACACAACTTGTGTGTAAGGGAACCTTCCATTGCAGGGAAGAAATTTAGTAATGAAGACTAATCAAGTGAACAGAATGGGTGTTCAAGGTTCAGACCATCATCAGGAAGAGGAAGATACATTGAAGATGGAGAGTAGTATTGTTTTTCACTATTTATTTGGACCATGCAGAATCTTGGGAGAAGACCACTTGCATAATGCAGACCCAAAGTGTGGTTGTCATGAAGAAAACTTGACCATTTGGGCATTATCAGGCAGTTTATAGTCTCCTTCTTTATGTACAAACACATTGCATTGAGTCGCTGCAAATTTCCATGTGTTAAAACATGCTGGCTTACAGGCAGCACTTGCTTGATTTTTGTGTGTGCTCTAAGGGACATCGATAACCCTTAACCAAATGCCCTGGATTCAGTTAGACGGTTTATAATGCCTGGAAACTCTGCTAAAAGGTTTTTCACTCGTCAGGTTATTTAATTACCTTGGCATTGATGGATCTGGAGCCCCTGCATCAATAGCATCAGTGGTGAGACAGAAGAGGACCTTGAGCCATGTTGATGTGCAATTTTGCCTTCATGTTGAGTAGCCAGTTCACACACTTTTTTGATCCTCAAATGAACTTGTATTATCTGGTCAGTGATTCAAGACATTTTGTTGGCAAGCATTTTGCCATTATTTGTGTCAGATTTGGAATTATTTGTGAATCAACAAAACTTTTGACCTGGCCCAGTGCCTTTTTGAAAGACTTCAAAAGTCGAGGGAGGAGAACAGTGATGGACGGAAGTCTCGGAGAGATGGACATTTGTTTTCTTATATATAACTGCAGTTTTACCCTTTTCACGGGTGTGAATTGCGTATCGTGTATGTGGTTGTCCTGTATTGTTATTTTGAACTTAAACGAACATAAGGTTGGATCTGTTTATTCCATTAAAAGAGTCTTCCGGATATTATGACTTGAAAACAGTGGTCAGAAATCATCAGGAATGATTGACTTAGAATGATTTCCCAGTCCAGTTTTATCACAGAAAAACTGCTGATGATGCGATTGAGTTGCAAGCATTACAAATTGGCCATGCCTCATCCCAGTGGGTTTGTCGTCTATATCTTTGTATATCAAGGGCAACCAAGTTTTCTTGGTGATCACAATGTTAGTGCTGTATCAGATTGCCAGAATGAAGTATTGTGAGGCTTTACAGGTTACTCCTTTAACCCTTTGTTTTTATACAGGTAACCTAAAATGTTTCAGATATTTAAAAAAAAAAGAACAAATGCATTTTCAAAACATTGGATTCTATATATATTTTTTATATACTTTGAGATTGAGATAGTGATAAGTGATTCAATAATAGAATGTATTTTAAGTTTATTTAAGTTTAATGATAGTGTAACATGAAAATGATTAGACAGTAGGACTTTTATGAAATAACTTCAGCTGTATCTCGTTTTCTTGCCAATGATCAAAACTATTGCCAGGATGTGTAAGTGTTTAACAAGGTATATCTCAAATGCCATAAAGCGTTCTGCTGTATAATTAATCTTAAAACACAGGGTTTCTACATATCAAGCCCTTTTATTGTATTCTTTCGAATTACCTAACTTTTCAAGCTCATAATCTCAGACTCTATTCAAGTGTTGACAAATACGAGGAAATGATAAGCAAAATATATTTGTTCAGAGTTGGTACAGCGATACAGTCCAGCATCACAGTCCATCATTCCGGTGGATAAGCCACTGTACACACCGGTCTGTCATTCTGGTGCTGATGAGGTTCGCTGGTGAAGGTACATACAAGAAATGATCATTAATTTACTGTTACATATAACTGTTAAATATTAATGTTTTACCAAAAGAGGGTTTATTTGTTAAGGGTGTTGATCATCAGAAAACGAAATACCACAAAAGTACATCTTGAAACTTTATATTGGGTGTACAATGAAGGAGAAGAAATAGTTCATGAAGGATCAGTTTTTTTGTATGATATCAGCAATGCTGGAGGCTATCAGGTAGATGTGGTGGTGATGTTTGACTTGGTGTTATTGGTGTGTCCATGTGTATGAGGTGCACAAATGTTAAACATTGTTATGTGTTACGTCACAGTAGTGAGCTTGACCCTCCAGGTAGCCCTCCAATCTGTTAATTACTAATGTTATCAGGTGCTACTGTCATCAAGTAAGCTGTGCAGAGATAGGGTTGTATAGTGGTTAATATGTCCTGTTTCTAAGGTGATATAGATCCTTTTAGTGGTTTTGGAACAAACAAAATTCTAGTTTTGTTCTGAGCAATTTCCCTTAGTTTGAAGGATTCCAGCTGCCTGTCTTATTCAAAGCTTGTTCGAAGAAATCTATCAGTATTCTGACAACCTGGTCTTTTGTATACACGTTGGGCATTTGATATAGAAATCAAAATCTGGTTATTAGATCTGTTCCAATATGCAATTAGGGTTGTTGTTTTTCTGTAAGTATGTCTTGAGTTTTGTGACAGTTTTTAGGCCAATCTTTTCAGGCATTCTAGAAAATTGAAAATTGCAAAAATTTCATTTATATACACCAAATTTGGAATGTTCTTCATATTGAGCATAGATATTAATATAATACAAGATATTAGTGTGTTTTTTATAGTTCTTGACTTATTTGAAGACAACACTTTATCATTTGACCATATTTCTGAATGAAACATTCAAATCCATTTTGAAAAGTCGAGTATGTCAAGAATTGTGGCATTAAGAGTTTATCCAAACTGTGTATTCTTTTCCTAAATGTAATATTCGGGTTCTGGGTATACTAATTTAAATACAAAAATTCTGGTTGGATCTCTAGGAATCTTGTTTTATTGGAAAACTGTAGCTCCATGGTTTGGTTATATTCCCGGTTATGTGATTGATTTGAGTTGCTGGAGATGTCTCGAAACCCTTCTCAGTGCAGTAGGAAATCTTACTGGATGATTAGAGCACTACTAAATTCTAGTCCTGTCAGTCATTGGCAGCCCGGTGAGGGTCCAGGTCATTACACATTTACAATATTTTGTACATCTTGTAAATTTCAAATTTTTATTATCGATTGAACTTGGGAGCATGAAGACTATTTCAGGTGAATGAATATCTTGTTTGTTATTTGGAAGTGTACATTTTCCATGCAGGAATGAAGTGTTTTATAAAAGAAGTTTCACAAAAAGTCCATTAATATTAACCTCAATCTGATTGTGATCATGGTCTCAAATTGTCCACTTGGGATGATAATGTATATATAAATTTGTGTTGTGTATGTCCACACTCAGTTTGCTTGTCATTGTAAATACTCCATAGTACTGCTCCCACTATCATTCGGTAAGCTTTCATTGAATTTCGTAAGCAGGTGCTCAACAAGATTGTAATTCACAATTTTTTCCATTTCCATTGATCATTACGATATTGTACAGTGTAGTTTCAACTTGATCTGTATGAAGGGCTTGCACCAGGCCATATATCATCATATGTGTAAGGCAGGGAATCAGACAAGGGTTGATGACAACTCACCCAATTGTTTTGTTAGTTCATTTCATTCCATATTTTGCCACGTATGACAATCCAATGTGCCAAATAATCTGAATTTAGATTATTTTATCTTCAGAACCAAAAAACAAATTCAGTTGCATCAATATTTCAGTATGCGTGTGTTTTCATAACTGACTGATGTAAACAAAATGTACATAGATATACTGCCATATTAAGGAAGAAATACTTGGAAATGCTAATTACTACAGTGTTAATGGTTCCTAGTGCATGATATATCAGTTTAATCAATATCTCCAATAAGTTGCACCTTTTAGAAAAGCTACGTTTTTTATACCAATATGTTTATGTTGAACATCATGACTGTTTTATCCCAGTGTACTTCTAGCCGATCATTCTTGTCACTTAATGATACAAGCCTGGTTCGAGTTCTCTGCCAATTTGTCATGTCTTTGCTTTTGTTGGTGTAAATATAAGAAAATCGAAGGACAACTATCAAACAGAGACTGAACAAACTGTGATACCGTTTTGTTTTTTTTTTCTGTTTAATTTTTTTGTGGCTCACAATGCTAGCAGTCTCGGCAGAATTTCACAGACTCGAAGCCCTCGTGTATTGAGCTGGGCAAGGAGTAGAATCGTGTGGCTACATTAGCCATTTACTTAGGGAAAATCATTGGGAGAAGGCTGTTTCTCCTCAAAAAATCAAATGTAAATTTGTTATACATAAATTGTTGACTTTGGGCAAGATAGGAGTGTGAAAGGATGACTTTGAAATTTGCGAGAGAAAGAGATTGTTTCTGAAAAATATTCTATTTGTGAGAAAGTTGAACATTGAACGAAAAGTGCTGTGAAATTCTGCATTTGTAAATATCTCCATAACGGTGAATGGTGTATGAGTTAATTTGGTATATGCATTTGTCACGCGGAAATAAATCTTGAGTTGACCCCTTGAAAATGAGGACTTTTTATTTTGACTGTTGATATTGAGAAGATGACTTATGTGACATAACATTCCCAAAACAAACGTGGTCATTAACCCGAATGTCAACACATCCTTCTCTGCAACATATGAACACATCACATGCCGATGAGCAAGAGGAAATCATGACATTCTTCAGTGACATAAACCCGTTCTGCCGAGTGACATGTCAATAATTCAAGATACACTGCTGAGTGACATGACGCTGAATGACGTCAACATCCTGATGAGTAACATCATATTCTGCTTCACAAAATCAAATCCTCAAATCTTGCTGAGCGATATGTCATTGACAGCCTGAGCAATCATCAACATATACTGCAGAGAAACCTGCTGACCATAATGTCACTGGCAGGTATCGACACATCCTGCTGACGTGTTATTACCGCTACATAAACCAACAGCATCAACTTGCCATTTGTCTTGGTCAATCATCCACTTTGTCGTGAATCATGACGATAACCACTTGTGTGAGGACCCATTGTGGCATGTTGGCACCACATGCTGTTGCTTTCACCAAGGTGGTAGGTATGCGAGACCTGCGTCACTGCAGGCTTTTCCCCGACACTAAACGACAATCTGGAGTTCTGTTCAAACCAATCTCCCGGTCTGGTTAGAGGTTTGTAGGATATTGTCTCTTTAAACACACAAGTCCATCAGTGGGTCCACAACACTTTATTCGGCAACTAAGTATGCAATTACATGATAGTGCAGCAACGGCCAGTCAGCATCACAGAGGCGATCGTCAGCCCACCTGTCTAGCCGCTGTCCGAGGGTCAAGTCCCGTTACAGTAGAATTCATCGTCTATATACTACTGACTGTCGTATTACGATACATGTATGGTCAACCTGCAGTATCCAGCATGCACCTCATCCACAATTTTAAGCTTCCGTGTCCAACCGGCCATACTCTAAAGTTAATTAGGGTTAATTACACGCAGGCACCTGATCTGTACATGGCTGTGCTGATGGTCATGATAAGCTGCTGATATTTCATGTATATTGTCAGCACTGTGATTTAGATTTAACACAACTTTAACTTAACTCAGAGAATATACAAACATGTTTATATTTCCCGATAAAACCCATATCCCACCAAAGTGCCTACGATGCCAACGTTAAACCAAACGCTAATTTCCTTATACTGTGCACAATATACGTAGGATTCATCAACCAGCAACTTATGATTATCATAGGTACCAACTACAGATTGTCGGGGATGGTGACCTATTTCACTGCATGTCATCGTGTCCAAGTTCGTGTATGTGAACTTGTGTCAAACTACAGACATTTGAATAAGGCAGCACCTGATTTTTGCTATGAGAGTTAGGCAAGCCCTCATTACTATCTAAATATACACTTTGCAACCTATCGGGCTTCCACGAAACAAATGGCCAGCTACGCTCCTGAACACATCCTGTCTGAAGTCCTTAACGTGGTTGTTGACAGCTGGCACAAAACAAGCACTTGCATACCTTTTCCATTGATTAATGATTAGGGAATGAAATTACTGAAACAATGAGGTGGATAAACGATGATGTTTTAACCCCCGAACAACATTCTTGCGGCTGCTGAGTTAATACGACAATTTCAGGTGGATTATTTGTAGATGACTGGCCGCAAGATTCATCAGGGGAATACACCGTCATTGTGGTATATCCATCTTGTGTGTCTCATCGCTCTAATCTCACGTCGGTTCTGCCGACGGGGCAAGTGTAGTCCTGGTGCATCGCAGACGTGAGAATTTTCCGCGGATTTCCGGGATTTTTTATTCATTTTGAACGTTTTTGAGATCGATGTCAATCTGCAATAAAAGACCCCCGGCTAAATTTCAGTGTGGTTTTTTTGTGCTTTGCCGTTCTTATTTCTGTGCATAGCAGTTGACACGGATTCTGTACGAGGCTTGGGGCTTAACCCATTTATGCATACTGTCTCTTTTTGGGACGGGTACTTCAAAAAAAAGCGTTTCTCCCTTATTGTTAAAGAAAGGGACTTGCAGTATAGAGACCGCCTCCGTGGTGTAGTGGTTAGAGCGTCCGCCCGGAGAGCGGAAGGTCGCGGGTTCGATCCTCGACCGCGTCATACCAAAAGACGTTAGAATATGGTACTTGTTGGTCCCTGCCTGGCGCTCGGCATTAATGGGTACAACAAGGACTGGTCGTCTCGGAGTCAGTATAATTTGTCTGAGTAGGGTATTCATGCTTCACTGCGGCATGGTATCTCAGTGGGCTAGCACTATAAAACCAGCTTCAGTCTGGGCTAGTACAAGCAGCCGCACATACACATACAGACGCATGTACGTTGTCATATGAGCGAAATATTCTCAAGCACGACGTAAAACCCAATTTCACCTCACTTCACCTTGCAAGATAGAAGTGAATGAAGCTGAGTAAATTGTTTAGTGGTTGAACCATTCACATTACTTGTAGAGTCACGTCCCTTTAGCATGGCGACCTCCAGTGGCAAAGCAGCTCCCCTGACAATTCCGCGAAGGGTGAGGTCAGATGATTTTTTCTTGGTCCCAGTTTTAATTATGTAAGTTCATTAGAATGTGTTTAAACATTTCGTTATTCAGAAATTATAGAAAAATGAAACGAAATGGTTTGCAACTTTTCCATACTCAATTTTCAACCAAAATACCGTCTAAAAAATGAGACAATATGCAGATTAGTGTACTTATTTTAGGTAATTGGTTAGGATCAGCATGATCATCTTCCAAGACCATGTATCATGATGGGCGATCTGAACTGACATACTACAGCCATAAAGGTAAAATCCTTGAGGAATTTATTTCAGAGAATTACCTCTGTATACTTAATGATGAATCAAACACTTTTCTACATCCAGCTACTGGAACATATTCTGCCCTAGATCTGGCACTCATCGATTCCTCCTTATATAATGAATTTGAATGGCTGGGCCATAATGACCTATGTGGGAGTGATCACTTCCCCTACCATTGTAAAACTCTCAACCCTGGTGATGATCCTCTCTTTTCAAGAAGGAACTTCACCAACGCTGATTGGTCATTATATAGGACTCTATATATTGAACACTTGAAACAAGACAGTGAGGATCCTGTACTGTCGTTTTCGGATATACTTAATGACATTGCTGACAAGACAATTCCACAGTCCTCTGCAACTCCACATATTCGTAAACAATGGTTCAATAATGAATGCAATCAGCCAAGAGAGTGCATAAGGAAAGCCGAAAAGTATTTTCGTGTGAATAATTTGAATAAAGTTAATATCTTAAACTGCCAAGGCTCGACCCGCGCTTAAACCGAATAAGCGTCAGTCTTGGAGAAAAATATGTTTCCCTTAAAAGTTTCCCGACTTCAAAGGTGGGGAACATAATACAAAGAGTAAAGGGCAAATGTTCGAAATCTACCGTTCACCATTTGAAGAACGGCGATAATTTAATAACTGACAGAGCTGGCATTGCCAATAAACTTGGTGACACTCTCACCAAGCATTCGTCTTCATCCAATTATGTCTCTGAGTTTCTCAAACATTAGAAACAACAGGTAGTTCACAAACTAAATGTATCATTATATTTTCGCCATATAATACTTTCTATGGCATATTAAGAAATACTTACCCAAGGCCCTTCACTTCCTCCACGAAGGATGCATACGTTAGTGCTGCCATTTATCGCGCAATACACTAGAAAAAAAACTGTACCCTTCTGTGCATATCGTCCCATTTTTAGGACGCACTTTTGCAGTGTAAAGAAAGTACGGAAATATTTATTTGGTGACATGACACCCCATTCCTTTCGTTGCTTGCCAACAGAAACTAGTTCACAAAATGTGATGAAAATCTAAGACCCTATATGCATATATGGGTTAATGATGTTCCAAACCAGACGGAATCCGACGTAGACGTGGCACTGTCACTGTCGGAGAATGATGGGGTGGACGTTGTCATAATGAAATGAGGTCCCGTGGCTGTTTGTCGAAATGGGGGACAACGGCTGCATGGTTCCAGGACACCCGGGACATACTGGGTAGGTGTGTAGTTGCCCCGTCCAGCCTGCAGTTGTGTGAAAAAAGTCCTCAAGGCAATAACCGAGCAACCCTCTAGGTGTATAGGCCGTATTTGTGTTCCCTAAACTCGGCCGTCCATGCGAAACATGGAACAGGGACCTGCTTTCTTCAAGCCAATGGATTTTTTCGTCAGGTTCTCACTCAGATTCCGAATTCTTCGTGTGAAACACCATGCCAAACGGAACCTCTGATCTGCTAATAGGGGAGGTGTGACGTCCGGCTTGTTCTCAAGCAGTTCCTCAAGGTTCTGGTGAACTAACGTTTATTGGGAATAGAGACTGGCCGATATGAGAACATCCCTGTAGAAAATAGACTTTGTTTTAATTGTTTAACCTGTGTTGAAGATGAAGCTCACGTTTTACTGAACTGTCCGCTATATACACGTTTTACAAGTGATCTTCTAAAGCTTTGCTGTGTTAAATTTCCTTTTTTTACTGATTTAACAGCGCCTCAGCAACTTGCCCTTTATTTTTACAGGTGACGAGTTTATTTTTAGTTTAGCCAAAATCTGCTGTAATATTTTAGAACACAGACGCTTTTTACTGTGCAAATACCTTTTTTTTTTATGTACTTACGTATGTTTACATTGTATAAAGGATTATCTTCTATGTGTTATAACATCTCTCATAAATCACTTGGCGATTGGTCTCATTTATATATTATATCCCTAATATATATTATATTTATGCGATTGAGATGTAAATAAACTATTCTGTCTGTATGTCTTTATTGGGGGCCTGTTGTCCTTTAAGGACGTGGTTTGTTGCAAATGGCTGTCGTTTTCCTAATCGAAGCAGTGTCCACTCTACATCACGGAGTATATATTCCTGTAGCGAAATTGTTAAATTGTACTGTTTTGCTCGACGGTATTTATTCCACGTTTTTACAGAGAGAATTGTCGAAAACAGATTTACACTGGCAGTAT